ACGAAGTCGCCTAAGGACACATTTCTTAGAACATATTCCCATTGCTAAGTGATGAATGACTGTGCTTACACTCAAAAATTACTCATTGTTTATCCAAAATTCATAACTTTGTGGCCTGTATTTTTGTTTGCTAACTGTGGCAACCCTATCACCAAGGCAAATTTCACTGGAAGAAATTCGAAGCTGTCAATACAGTTTTTAATCAAGCACATAGACTTTTATTCACACTTGAAAATCAACCTTACATCATCCAGAGAGTACATATGCTGTCTCCAGCTCCTTGTTTCCCATTGGCCCTCAGCCCATTCCAATCTGCCTCACAGAGCCCCATCACCCCATGGAAACAGGTGTCTTCACGGTCACCAACACGTTCCTTGTTGCCACACCCAATGGACACTTTTCTGTACTCATGTTAACATCTCAGCTGCATTCTGCAGTGTTGACCTCCTTCTCTCTTTTGGAAGAATTTGGCTCTGGCTTCTGTGATCCCCTTCTCTGTCCTGGTTTTCTACTTATCTAGCCACTAATTCTCATCTCCTCTATCAGATCCTTCTCCTCTAACTCCAAATTGGGAACTCCTCATGGCTTCGTACAAGGTTTCCTCCATCCTCCTCTGTATCAACACTGTCCAACAGAACTCTCTGTGATGATGGACATGTCCTCTTTCTGTACCATCCAATGCAGTAGCCACTAGCTACATATGGCGACTAAGCACTTGAAATGTGACTAGTGTGACTGAGGGATGGAATTTTAAATTTTATTTAATTTTTAAATTTTTTTAATTGAGAGTTCCACTCTGTCACCCAGGCTGGAGTGCAGTGGCACAATCTTGGCTCACTACAACCTCCACCTCCTGGGTTCAAGCGATCCTTTTGCCTCAGCCTCTGGAGTAGCTGGGATTACAGGCATGTGCCATTATGCCTGGCTAATTTTTGTATTTTTTGTAGAGACTGGGTTTCACCATGTTGGCCAGGCAGGTCTTGAACTCCTGACCTCAACTGATCCACCCACCTTGGCTTGCCAAAGTGCTGGGATTACAGACATGAGCCTCTGTGCCCAGCTAACTTTTATTTAATTTTGATTAGTTTATATTACCACATATGGCGAGTGGCTACCATGTTGGACAGTACAGCTCTAGATTATCTTAGTAGGTGAGCTACTATTGGCTTTAAAAAGCAGCTTTATTCTTATGATCTCCTGATATTTATCCATATCTCTAATCCTTCACAGAGTTCCAGGGTTGTGTCCATCTAATAGCTTCGATGACTCACAAGCATTAAGGGACTATAACTGTTCTTTTCTTAGCTGTCAATACTTCAGGAATGGTACCACCAGTTACTCAGTTTGTTGAAGCCAGAAAATGAGAGTAGTTCTTTATTTTTCCTTATTCCTTACTATCCACACCTAAATCATAAGTAAGTTCCATGGATGTTACCTCCAACTTACTTTTTTTTTTTTTATAGGCACCCTATTTACTTTTATTACCTGGCCAGATTTGCAGGATAATTGCCCAGAACTGGCATATTGATCCAGATTTTTACATTACCCATGACTTTTTGTCTCTTCCAAGCTGCAGGAGATCACTACTTGATTCAGGGGAATAAGCAGGGTTAGCCATAGGTTAGGAAATCTGCATAGGGACTGTGTAGACAAAGTAGGAGGCCAGTCATCCCCAAGGGGCTTTTATTGGCTCTGCAAGTCAAGCTTGATTCCTTAAAGGGAAACACACTTCCAGTCAAAGCTTTGGTAAGACGATCAGTTTTTCCAATTGTGTCTTCAGACTTCTATTGGTGTAGTGCATGCAGTTAACTCCTGTTTGACATTCATGAACATTTCAGCTCTTCATGAGTCCTGCACGTTTTTTCTCTATTCCAATGTTGCAATCTTCAAAGCTATTAGAAACCCTTAAAAGCTATTAGAAACGATCCCAGATGGGTCCCTAAAATGAAGCAGCGTCATTGTCTGGGGTAAATATCCGAGTTTCGTCGTCTCACACCAAGGAAATTGAAGACGCGTACACACAAGAAGTGTGTTTAAGAGCTCAGGTTTAATAGAGGAAAGAAGGAGAAAGGAGAATAGTTCTCTCTCCTGCAGAGACAGAGGGGCTCCCGAGTGGATCTTCCCCCTAAATTACATTTTGAATCTGTCTACTTCCTTCCATCTCCACCGCTACCATCTAGTCCAAGCCACCATTTACTGCCTGGACTACTTGCAGTCATCTTCCTGCTTCCTAAACCCAGCTTTAATCCAGTATCCACACAGCGTCAGGATGATTCCTCTCAAAAGATAAATTGGATCATGCCACTTTTCTGCTAAAAATTCTTCAGTGGTAGCCAAGCGCGGCGGCTCATGCCTGTAATCCCAGCACTTTGGGAGGCCAAGACAGGTGGATCACGAGGTCAGGAGTTTGAGACCAGCCTGGCCAAGATGGTGAAACCCCATCTACTAAAAATACAAAACTTAACCGGGCGTGGTGGCATGCGCCTGTAATCCTAGCTACGCGGGAGGCTGAGGTAGGAGAACCGCTTGAACCTGGGAGGCGGAGGTTGCAGTGAGCCGAGATCGCGCCATTGTACTCCAGCCTGGACAACAAGAGCGAAACTCCGTCTTAAAAAAAAATTCTTCAGTGGTTTGCCATGGTTCTTGGAATAAAATCTAGATGCCCTGTATTGGACTTCAAGGCTCTGAGCCCTGCTTTCCATTTCAACCCAATTCATGCCATACTTCTCCTATCAGTGATAAGTTGATCCCTTGTTAACTTGACACCCATATGCATCTCCTTAACATACTAAATTTCCAAATAAAGACATGGTAGCTCAGCCTAACATGATGCAACTAACACAATGTAACTATCTGCATGCAACTGAAAATGTGTTAACCCCTTTTCCAGAATTCAGCTTCCAGGATTTCAACATTTGGAATTTTAATCTTTTGGGATTGTGGTTTTTGAGATTTTAGACATTAGGGATTTTGATCTTTCTGGATTTCAATGTTTGGGATTATGGCATTCAGTATTGTGTCTTTTGGGATTATGATGGGCACCACCTGAAATCATGGGTTTGATGTGTTATTTATATCTTTTTCTATTATACATTAAAATAAGTCAGTAACTATTAAAATATCTGTGGACTGTCTAGACTCACTCTGTACCCCATGGGACCCTTGTACCACACGTTGGGAAACAATTGTGTCAGGGCCTCCAGTATGTCTGCTTACTCCCATCCCTGGCCCTTCCTCCCCATCCTGCCGGGATTCCTCAAGTCCCATATTGGAACACAAACACTTAGAAGTAACAAAGCTCGCTCTGTGCCAAGAGCAATGCTTAAGTATATATGCAATTTTATTGATAAAAGAGTACAATCAAAGCCAATATAATGTATTGGCTAAGAACAGGGAGATGACCTGGATTCAAATCTTGGTCTCCCACTTGATCTATAAGTCATTTCACCTCCTCGGGTAGCTCAGGGGACAGCTTTGAGGATTAAATCAATTACATCAATTAATGTATGTCCAGAGCTTACAATGTCTGACACATGGTAAATGCTGATATATATATTAGCATTTTTTAAATGTTCTTTATTTTTTGAGACAGGGTCTAGCTCTGTTGCTCAGGCTGGAGTGCAGTGGTGCTATTTCAGCTCACTGCAACCTCTACCTCCTGGGCTCAAGCCATCCTTCCACCTTAATCTTCTGAGTAGCTGGGACTACAGGCGTGTGCCATCACACCCGGCTAATTTTTGTATTTTTTTTGGTAGAGATACGGTTTTGCCATGTTGCCCACGCTGGGCTCAAGTGGTCCACCTGCCTCAGCCCCTCGAAGTGCTAGGATTACAGGTGTGAGCCACCGTGTTTGGCCAGTAAGTGCTATATAAATGTTAGATATTATTATAGCTTGTGAGTTTTGGCAATGGAAGTTCAAAGAAAAAAGTAACCAGTGAGTGTACTAAGTATCTTTCCCTTTGAAAAAAATTGGTTGGTTAGAAACTCATAGGAGTGTACTCATACCTACTTAATCTTTTGGTAAGACTGCATGCATTTGTGATGTTTGAGTATTAAGCTTTTATGAATTAGTTGGATAATATAGAATGCTCAATGATTTAAAATGGCATCTGACTTACTACAATTTAGCTATACAAATTGATTATTCTATGCAAATTTGAGGATGATACTTCTAGGCACCCCCCCTCAAAAATATATTGCTCATGTAGTTTATCTTTATTTGAAAACAGAATATTTTCACTAAACATTAGTGAATATTGGGAGCAGTGCAAAAGCGTGTGTGTGTGCACACGCCAAATGTTTTAAAAAGGCTTTCTGTTATGACAGAATATAACAACAGGTATTTTGCAAATAAACTACAAAACAGTCAAACTAATACTTTTTTTTTTTTTTTTTTTTGATGCAGGGTCTTGCTCTGTTGCCCAAGCTGGAGTGCAGTAGCACAAAGATGGCTGACTGCAGCCTTGAACCTCCTGGGTTCAAATTATCCTCCCATCTTAGCTTCCCAAGTAGCTAGGACTATAGGCACACTGCCATGCCCTGGGGTCTCTCTCTGTTGCCCAGAGATGAGGCCTCTCTCTGTTGCCCAGGCTGGTCTCAAACTCCTGGGCTCAAGCAATCCTCCTGCCTTGGTCTCCCAAAGTGTTGGGATTACAGGCATGAGCCACCTCTCTCAGCCTATTTAATATGTTTTAATGTTTCATAACAACTGTTTCCCAGATCATAATACGAACAATTTTTTTCCTATTTCTGTTTTGAAGTAAGTCAAGAGTTGGCTTCATTACTTTAAAATGTCCTTGTTACATTTAATTGAACATTATCAATTACCTTTATGAAGAATAACAGAGGAACCATAAAGCTATATTTTAGCAAAACATTTTAATTCTGATTCTGAAGCCTAATCAGAAAAAAATGTATTTAGTACAATGACAACCCATTAAATACAAATCATTGTTAGGCTGTGTCTGTTATGGAAACTATCATGTTATGAAAAGGTATTCAGCTAATATGAATCTTTTAAAAACAACTGAACTTTACCATTGCTAGAGATTTTTTGAAAAGCTGTAGATATATACGTAGGAGATAAAACAATCAAAATTACTTCCTGAAGCTAGTTTAACAGGTTCTAAATGCTAAACAAAAATTTCATGAAATGACTCAGGAGATAAGACTGTAAAAATTTCTTCCTGAAGCTCTTTTGGCAGCCTCTGGGGATGTGAAATTCCCTAAGGTGCTCTAATGGGAAAAACCCTAGAATAAGAACCAGAATCCTTGACTTCTACTCCCACCAGTAAGCTAAGTGAACTTAGGTCAGTATTTAACCTCCTCCAGTTTGCTTATTGGTTCATTTGAGAGACTCACACTTTCCTGAGTTACTTCTATGTATTGTAGCCAGTTTCAAAATGCTGTGTGAAATTTCCCATATTATCTAAACATTTCCAACTGATTATTTTCTCAGCCACTCAGCCTTTTTCCTACGATCTGTGTTTCTTTGCACATAAGGTGAATCTCCCCACTCAATAAGAGATCATTGCCATTTCACATTTCCCTGCCTCCTGCCTGCATGCACACTGCTATTATGTTGTCCCCTGGATTGTCTTTCAAAAATCTTCATTGTTATAGGTAAAGAAGGGACCCACTCTATCTGAGTAACTGATTGCACAGCCCAGCCCAGACAGACACACATCCCAAGTCTCTGCTTCATCTGTCCTAGAGGAAACTGGCTCGTGGGGAATAGCCACAGCGGGTCTGATGGCCTGGCAATCTCCTGCAATTTTCATAGGAAGTGGCCCTGAAGGAGAGGTAGCCCTGGTGACTGTCACTGGAGGACCCCAGGCTTCTGGATAGACAGACATCCCAGTATCTTCAGGAGCGTAGTTACAGCTCGAAAGGCTCTTCAACTCTCGCACACTGTCACTGTATTTCATAGCAGGGGGCTGGTAGGCCTGGTAGGACACTTTAGTGGTGGTGGTAATCACAGTTTGTAGGGCAGGGGCACCTGGTGGCGGAGTCGTGAGGTACCTGCAGGGAAGCTCTGGGTTATAATAAGGGCGAGTGGTCATGGCCTGAAACTGCCCATGGTCAGTCCTCTCCACAAGGCTGGGTTTTCCAAGAGCTGGTTTCCAGCCATGCTCTTTGTTGGTGAAATCAAAGCTTCTCTCATAGCTGCTGTATGAATTGACATTATATTGTAGTGTGTTCAGATGAACCCAGTCTGTGTCATTAGGGATGCTGGTGGAATCCTTATAAAGGGTGGGATATGGGCTCGAATTTGTATAACCAGTGTTTGCCAATTCATAGCTGCAAGGTGGCCTAGGCAAATAGATTCTTGGGCTTGAGTATTTCTGAAAGGGTGGCATTTTGTCTCCTTGAAAGATGGCTAGGTCACAGGTAGCTTTGTAAGAATCAGAGTTTGGGAAGGAAGGGCAAGGCTGCCCCGGAATAGGGAAGCTGGTTTCAGTAGCTATATCAAAGTCTTCTGGATTTTCCAAGGGAGGTATGTTGCTGAAATGACCACTGCTGTCTTGATTTTCTTCTGCCTAGAAAAATGATACAAACACAGACACATGCTATGTAAATCGTGTGGACACCCTCACCTGTAACAATAGCCAACAAGTAAGTAAAAACAGACATCCATGTGCTGGGCTCTGTGTTGTGAACATGGCACTGCCCAGGTACGTGATTTAAGCACATGGTCCAAGGGTTGCTAAGCTTGAGCTCTCTCAGATATAAATACCAACAACTGAATGAGGAAGGTCCGTGGTAGCCAGGTAGGATGCTTCTGAGTGGTAGATGGTCCTGTTCTCACTCATACTGTGTTCCTAATAGTGGAGACTTAAGAGCCACACAGGCCTGGGTTCAATTCCTGACTCTGTCCCTCACGAATTGTACAAGCCACTTAACCTCTCTGAGCCTCAGATTCTTCATGTTAAAAATGGAACTTAATCATAGTAACCTCATTATAGAGTTTCTGCAACCATTAAATGTGTGAAACTCTTCGACCAGTGCCTGGCACATAGGAAGTGCTGGAAAGTGTCAGTTTCTGTTATCCTTACACTAACACTCTGCCTGCTTGGCAAGCTTTGGTTGAAAAGGAAAACTGAATTAAATTGTGCAGAGAAATTTTATCCATTCTTATGGATGAAATAATGGAAAGGACCCTCTCAAGGGTACACTGACAATGTCCTGTTGGTAGGCACATATTTCTGTCTTTATTACTGTTGCATAATCG